AATTTGCTAATAATCATTCTTTTTTCAAAATCATGCAAACTTTATCATTTAATCGGTGACAAACTGCAAAGAATGAAGATATTACTCATACTCCAGATCGTTCCTCGCGTAGAAATTTTAGCTGAATTTCTGTCGCGCATTTTCAAGAAAATCCCACAAAATCTGCATATTTTTGATGAACTAATGATTTATTTTGTCTTTTGCGTGTTGGGTCTTGCGAAAGAAACTCTGAAAATGCCATTTCAGACCATCTAGAGACTCCAGATTTTCGAAATTTTCTCAAATGTTCTGCCTTCATTTCCGCGCAACTGCCATTTACGACGAAAATTCCCGCCGCGCATTTATAATACTACAGTCTGGCCCATACTTTCCTGTAAATTTAGACATACTAAAACGCTGTTTTCTGACTATCAGAATTCTGTTAAATCTTCCCCCAAAGTCCAGGAAATGGCATTTTAGAGACTCTAAATTTAAAAATTTCCTCGGGCCTTCGGCCCTCGCTTTCAGCCCCCCCCAATCGAAAAGAGCTTCCTACGGCCCTGTTAAATGATGGATCAAAGTGAAATTTGACCAATTTTTGTATCAGATATAAATGATATTCACGAGGCGACAGCCATGTGTTTCATATCTGATAAAGCATGGACTGCTATAGTGTTTTAAATGGCTTAAAAACGACCCACCTTGTCACTTCATTGACGAAGTAATTTTAAAAATCAACGTTGTCTATGCTGAGAAAAGTTTTTTAAGTGTTGTTTAGGGTCTACACTTAACATTTTGTAAGGAAGTTTTTTGTAAAATTGAAACAGTGATAGCAGTTCATCTCTGTGTTAAGTACCCTTTTAATGCAATGTTTCGAAAGAAACTTTGTAGTAATGTAATGAAGGGCAAAATTGGATGAGTCGTACAGTCATAGTTCATAAGGGGTGGAAAATGGAGTAAATTTTGGCAGGGGATGGAAAATGGGGTAAATGAAAGACAAAACAACTCAACTCTCAAGGGTTGGGTAATAAAAATTTATTGTCATTGACACAAATGTACAGTACATGCATGCGTCACATAGTTGACTTTAATTCCTGGTTAGCCTAGAAATAGCACTATTTGGGTTCCTGGTTAAATGTGCCGGTTATTTTATCTCCATAATCGTCCTGCCGTTGTCTCAAAGAGAAACATATTCTTGCCTGAAATGTGATAATATAAGTCGTGTAACATTTTTGTGGGTCTGCCATGCTAAAGCAGGCAAACTTGAAAACGAGGCCGTTGAACAAGGCGCAAAGAGTGATGGGTAACCACCTAGGGCTTTCGATTGGGCAAATAATCCTAGTACACTGCTAGTTGTACGTGCTTATTATCTGTCTTGCCGTAGTTACAATGCACAATTCGCACGTTTTAGGCCTTAAGTAAGAAATTACCCATCGCACCTTGCGCGCTGAGAGTTTGAGATTTTTGAAGGACAATCTTTCTTTGATTATAGAAGAATGCTGTTTACACAAGGGTCCACACAAATCGTTGTAATAAGCCCATGTTTTCCTTCAGTATCCCGAGTTGTTGCAATAAAACAATTTTATATCGAAAAAATTTTAATATAAAATATAAAAATAACTAAATGTTTTAGATGCTCGGTCGGGCGGTAAATTTATATTTTATAACAAAATACATAGAGGATATTACACGGCGGTGCGAAGATATGACTTATCTTCGGGTGGTGAAAACACGAGCAAAAAATTGTGAAATCCCAAGCAAAAAAATGTGAAATTTCACGCTCAAAAGCAAATTGGAAAAAGTCACGTGATCGATATCTTCACCAGCGAAGATATGGAAAATATCTCACTGTGTATTTTGAGTATCTTCTCTCTACTATATAATAAAAGAAATATATCAACGCGGAAATCCAAATATCGTTGGGCGGTGAATCAAGGAATTTATTTGCCTAGAGGTCCATTTATACGATTGTCATTTTCACAGTTCATGGCGAAATTTGAAATGTGACAGCTTTACACGCAAAGTCTATTGGTTTCAATTACAAAACATTTTCTTCGTTGCGCTTTTCTATATTTTGCATTGCACCGAAAACAAATTCGGCTGAGAAGTATAATCAAATTGCAATTTGGATGATAATTTGCGCGACCTTATCCACGACACACGGCTTTTTAACCACGTTCCACGACGCGCGAGTCATGCCGGCAGGCAGAGTTGCAGAAACGATACCGAATATATGCAGAACAACAAACACCGTCGGAATTGCTTTGTTTTGTATACAATTAGGGAACATTGAAACACAAAGAAATCGTGGACAACCAATCGAGCTGTGGTTACTGTACTATCAGCGGTATCATTATAGTTTTATAAAGGTCACTTGATAACCTGAAATGATTTATAATCGCTGATATTGGAGTGATTTATCTACGCGAGCAGACTTAGTTACTTGCGACTGCAGTTGGTTGTAGACTCACGAAGATTGAACACAAAAATCGGTGCGGATAAAAAGGTTTATTGGTGATTTATTTTGAGAAATAAAGAACACAAACTTTGCCCAAACGCGTTGCTACGAGGGACGAACACACAGACGCATATATAGCTTCACGTCTGTTTGCCAGATATTAAATTTCCGTGTTCATTTCAACAAGGTCGACAGATGATTACCGTTGCAAGGTATAAGCTTGAAACCTGCTGGTCAACTCTGGTCGAAGGACGCTAGTTTTTGGCAGCAAATTCAAGAAATACATTTGCTGTTTGCTTCGTTTTGACTGGCTGAACATCTTGTGTGTTTGGGACGGGTAATTATCGGTGAAATTAAAGACAAGAGGCTTTAGTGTGCGGATTATTGTTGTACATTTACATGCCGATGGCTGTGTGCCTTTGAAAGCCTGCATCCGCGTGACATAAAGATTAATTACTCTGGCTAGCAACTTCTGGACGTAATACGAGAATTCATATACTCGGGCAACAGTTTATGACAGCTAAAATACATTTATAATCTTGTGTACATACAGTTCACTGGAATTTATATCGATATAAATATTGGACTATCTTGCAGAATATTGCTATTATAGCACTTTTCAAAAGCTCAAGTAATTGAAGTGGTCTCATATTGTCGGCCGAAATTCGCAGTTGGGCAAATAGGTCAGTGTATCCGCTAACATAACCAAACCCTTGTTGAAACTTTGACGTTTGTGACCTTGCTTGGCTAGAACTCGTCGTAAAACAACGTTTAAAACCTGTACTTAGCTGCTTCTTGAAAAATCCAAGTAATTTTGAGGTTTCGTCGTGTGTCGGCCGAAAATTTATAGTTCGGCAATAGCTTATATCGCGAAAGTTGCTGTAAGCTTGTTTACAGTTCGTTGGAATTTAAACAATTTATAGCTGTATAAATATTGCTGTTGGCTTTTTCGTGAAACGGTTCAAGTAATTTCGACTGGTCTCATCGTCTTGGCCAAGAATTCATTATTAACAGTAGTCATTTACTGGATTTTGCCGCGTTCATGCTGCAGAATAAAAGTCGGAACTTTATACGAATTTATGTTTTATCACTTGGGTTCCTCACTTGATGCAAATTTCTGACTGTTGACACTTGGTCAAAAATTCATCGTAATTATTTGGCAGTATCCATAACGTCTTCAAGTTATTATTGAAAGCTGCTCAATTAATACGTCAGTCAACTCGGCAGGTGTTTGAAGTTAGACTTTCAGGTTTTACATAAATATTCGACGCTGCAGCAATTATGTCGACCGAAAATCACACATTTGTTGCGAAAAAGACAAGCATTACGCGACCGACCGTACTGCAGTCGTTTAACACCGAAGTTAATCCTAGTTCCTATCGCGACGAAATCCTTGAACAGCATTCTTTCTTGGGAGACGGGTTTGAAAATCAATTTCATTCGACAAGGAAGGTTTTTGAAGCTAAAGAACAGGAAAAGAACCAGCGATCACCAACTGTCAGTGGTAGTCCATCTCCTGCTCACCCCAGTTCCCCTGTGACCGAGCGGATCCAGTCCTTTTCCGAGCTCAAGCAGAGATTCGAAGCGGATGGTAATAATAATAATGTCCAAGCGCTGTCCCCACGCGGGACGAGGCATACGAGTTATGGCGTCGGAAATGCACGGCACAGCTGGGCAAGCTCGTCTAGTCCGAACAGTTCACGACGGAGCAGCGATGCTTCGACGGAGTGTAGCGACAGAAACCGCAGGCCCAACGATATGTCGATTATTCGTGAAAAAATCGCGATTGCCAAAGAAGAACTTGCCGAAGCCAACGAACGCCGCGATGTCGCCGAACGAGCGTATGCCGAAGTCAAACATCGGATTATGTTGTCGAAATCGCAGTCCAGGTCGTTACGAGATCAGATTCGGTCGTTGGAAGAGACTATGGAGCGAAAAGAGAAAAAAATCAATGAGGGCACAAAAAGATTGGCTGCTAGAAATGTAGTTATAGATCAAAACCGACGGGCTGCGAAGTTTTACGAGAAAGACATCGAGCATGAATCGGAAATGGTCGATGAATTGTCGGAAAAGATCGAAGCGGCTAAAGAACGAAAGCGAGAAACCGTGCAACGAATCCGCGGTCTCACCCAGCGGATTCCCCCCGTAAAAGTAGCGATCGAAAAAGCGGAGACGAGGCTTGACGAAGCGAGAAAAAAGTCGCGACGTTTTGAAGACATTTTGACCAAATCGTCGATTCGTCTGAAAAATGCCCGTACCTTACAAGCGAATGCCGCCGAAAGAACGTCTTTTAAAGGACTTGAGGTTGCAGAAGTGCATAAAAAAATTTCTGAGCAAAAAGAGCGATTAAAGAAAGCGAAAGCTGATATTAATTATGTGGAATACAGAAAGGAATTGTTAGTCGACCAATTAGCAGAGTGCAGAAATGATATCAGGAACGTTGTTGTGAGATTGAAACCCCATCAACAGCAGAAAGCTTTAGGGTTTATGTATACTAGACTGCCCATGAGTGAAGATCTATGAACAAACTTACTTTACAATAGATAGGATCGTACAGGTGTACAAACTTTAAGACTTTTCTACACAGAATTTTAGAACTTTGTTTCAGTTATTTTAAAACTTCTTTGATTTAATTAAAACTTAATTTATACCGTTCTAAGCAACATGTTTTTAATAGTCCTATAACGATTTTTGTATTGTGTCAGTGGTATTAAGATACCCTCGAAGAAAGTTCTGTATTGCTTTATTTTCTTATGTACATTTTCTCCTCTTCCATTTCGGCCCTTTGTCAGCGCGAGCTCCCATCCATGCCAACTCACAAGCACGCTGTGAGTGATTTCATCCAATCGAAATGCTTGACAGTTTATTTTAATTAGATGCAATTACTCGCAGCGAGCTTACGAGTTTACTTTTGCACCTTGAAAGTAGAACGAACTGAAAAACGGGCAAAACGCTCCGTATATCTCACGTTTGTTATTTCACCAATGGAACGTAATTTATACGAAAAACGGGGTTACACAATCCAAGAGTTGTAAAAGTCGCATGTATCTTTTCAATATTTCCACTGTTTCTTCATTTCTTTGTTTATCAAGTGATAGAATAACGACGAGCTTAAGCAAGCGACAAGTAATTTTGGCCGCATTTTGCATCCTATGATCCTTTCGTGTAAGGAAGCAGAAAACTTTTAAAATCTTATGTACTAATTTTACCGCAGTTTTGCATCATGCAGTATAAAGCCCCGCATAAAAGAACCAGTGGGTTAATTAAGAACCACCAGCCTGAAATGTGGGCAATTAAGGACCCAAAAATACAAGAACCAGCACCAAACAATTCAAAACGGTCAAAGTTGGTCAAAATGAAACTAATATTTGCTTAAAATTGAAGGTCAAAGTCGGTAAAATTTGGTCAAAGTTTGAGATAAAAGATGGTCAAAGTTATGAAATTGTTCGCAATCATTAACAATTTCTAAGCTTTGGTCATGTTTGCGCGAAAACAATTGCAAGCCTTGCTTATTTTGGTCGAAAAATATTTGAAGCTTTGCTTATGGTTAGTCCGGAAAATTTTTTGAGGACCCTCCCTTCCCCCCCCCCTCTCCGTCGACAATATTTTCGGGAAACATTTCTACTACTTGGTCAAAATTCTAGGAAAGTTTGGTCAAAACATGACGACACCCCCCACCCCCCCCAATGTTGATGTCTTCACGACGTCCCTGGAACCAGTTCAGGCTAACAAATGAAACTGGTTCTTAAAAGCCTTATTAGGAATAAAGCAAAATACTGTAATCTTGCTGGCATCAATTAGGTCTTTCATCCACGTCATGCATGCAGTTATTTTATCAAAACAAATTTCATGTATGTATACAATAAAAAGTTTAAAAATCTCAACCAGGAACAATTGTTTTTCAGTTGACTGGAAAAATGAAACACTTGAGAACCACTTCAGCCTGATTTTTTTGTAAGTACCCGCGTTAGGCCTATATAAGAACCACTTCGACCTGAAGTCAAAATTCGCAGGTTCTTTTATGCGGGGCTTTACTGTATAGCGTATACTTGTAAGGAAGCAAAAAACTTTAAAAATCTTATGTTTTTACCACAAACTAATACGAACACAGTTTTGAATTTAGACCTCCCCTCGCAATCTGACGTCCATGTTGATAAAAACCTCGCTTGTCTTAAGGGGGTCTTCCACCCTAAAAACATTTTTTTCAATTTAAAGGTTTTATCATCATATTTGAGTCAAGTATGATGGAATATCCTCAGCTGACGCAGGATCAGTAACTTTTACATTCGTCGTTGCCATAGTAACTAAGATAGGCCTCGCTATAGGGTAAAATATAGGGTTTGCTCCAAAAATGATGTGAGCCAAACTAATTTACCTAGGATTTTAGAAACAGCTTTAATGGACACTTAATACTTCGATCTATGTCATGAACCTAAAAAAATATACAAGTAATATAATAAGGCCTTCATATTTTACTTTTTTAAAATTATATGAAGAAAGGAGTTCTTATAAGGCTACTCTTGCAATGTATATTGCTGATATATGAAGTTTTTTAGGTCCATGACATGGCTATGTAACAAGCAAATAAACTCTGAAAATTTCGAACGAATTGATTCAGTATGAACAGTAGGAGAGTTTTTAGTATTTCGCAAAATGTTCATGTGAGAAAAGCGATTTTAAAGTTTTTGCATATATTAGAATAACTTAGATAGAACAATATAATTGAAAATGGAACAATAGACTAAACCAATCACATATCTTTATCGCTCCGGGTAAAATCGTGGTTTTACCCTACGAAGGTGTAGAATTTGCTGGATTTCTCTGGTTTACGGTACATTTTCGTTCTTAAAATTACACGGATTTTATAAAGAACGCTATAAAGACTACATTTTTACGTTTTTCTAAAAAATAACGAATATTGGAAAATTTGGGTGGAAGACCACCTTAAAGGGACAATGTCACCGATTTTTGAGCAATTCTAACCCTCGCAAATTTTGCCCAAAACTGAAAAAGAATGATTGTAAGCACAAAATAAAGCAATAACAGACACAAAAAACATGTGCAGAAGTCTGGATGTGCAAGATTACGCCAGGATTGAGATGGATTGTAAATGGCATCTTGATTAATTGTTGGCGGACACTTTTTCAAGTTTAGGTCAATTTTTATGAAAATGTCATGTTACATGTTGCGTGGAAGTTCAAAGTTGTTTAATATGACTCATATATCATAACTTAATCCATTTACAATGTTTATTTTTAACTTTGTAGTTAAGTTTTTGAATAAAAGGCATTTTAGGTCAAAAATCGGTGACAAACAACAGATTTTCTATGATATAACCCTTGTTGGTCTAGTGTTACTACAGGAGAAAAGAGTAAACTACATGTATAGACCAACTTTATTTCAATTTTTTTATTCTACCACTGGATTCCCGAAGAGAAATTTCTGATCTGATATACTACTGTTAAATCAAAATACCAACTCATAACAATGGATGTAAATAAATATATATGTACTTACAACCCTGGTTATAAATTGCGTAACTACGACGAAAATGACTTCCACCTTATTATAAAACATAATCAAGATTGCTTCAAAAACTCGTACTTCATTAGACCAGCAAAAGTTTGGAACAGTCTACCCACCGAGATAAAGACATGCCACACTTTATCTTCGTTTAGATCACGTTTAATTAATTCATATAATAGCAATCATATAAACTTCGTATGCCGTATGCTGCCTCCTCCGCAGGCCCTTATTATTTGATAGCAAGCGACTGGGGACGAGGCAGTGCCGTATGAGTCACGATTTAGGAACAGTTACTATATTTTTAGACTTTTATGGTTAGGATTAGGGTTTGGATTAGGGAAAGGGTTAGGATTAGGGCTAAGTTCAAAATACAAAAGAATACAAAATTACAAAAGTCTAAAAATGGTAACTTTTCCTAAAATGTGACAGGTATAGTTATATGGGAGCTTTCAGGGGCTTCTCGGTGTATAAACAACCGTCATATTTTAAATTAGAATTAGGGTTAAATTTTACGGACAGGTCTTCGTTTGTTCATACACCGAGAAAGTACCGAGTTATAAGAAGTCGGATATTAATTGGGACGACAGTTCCTCATCCCGGTCACGTACTTTGTCTCGTAACATGTTATGTATATCAGTGTCAGTGTAAACATTTGATACGAATTTGATAATAATACTGATATTTGTTTTTCGACTTTTCAACAGCCATGTGTAAAAGCTATTGGTAAAATGTTCCATCCTGAGCACTTCATTTGCGCTCAATGTGGCAAGCAGATAGCCAACGAGAGTTTCCACCTTGACAGTGGCAAGCCGTATTGTGCTCAAGACTATAAAGAACTGTTCTGTGTCAAATGCTGTTCATGTAAGCAAGTCATTGGTGGCGGAGACCGCTGGCTTGAAGCACTGGATAAACCATGGCATGCTGATTGCTTTAGATGTGCGGTAAGGTTTTGTCTTTACTTTGTTTTGTTTACTGGGTTTTTAGCGTGTTTCTCTGCGTCTGTTTGTTTGTTTGTTTGTGTGTTTAGTCGTTTGTTTGCCTGTTTGTTATTTGTCGGATTGGTTTTGTTGTGTCTGACTGGCTTTTCTTCATTTCATCGTATCACTTTTGTCCATATTATCTCAGTCTAACTTCCATCACTTTCTTTGTAATGTCTACCACTCCACATGTTCCGATTTCTTCAAGATTTCGTCTCTGGCCAAGAGCCTTCTTATCTCTACTTTTTACTTGTCCTTGCTTCCCTCATTTTATCTGTTATGTATACATTGTATGATCTCTTCATTCTTGATCTTTTTGACCGACATTTCATGTCTCTAACCGGTCCTCTTTGATCTCTTCTTATTACGTCTCCATAGCAGCTCAGCCTTGCTCTTTCACCTTTCTGCAATGTCTATCGCCCCACATCTTTTGATCTCTCTATTCCATATTGGATGTCCATATATAGCATCTCAGCCCTGTCTCCCTCGCCTTCTCGGCAATGTCTACGACTACTTCGCAAAATATAAGATGAAACACACTTCGAATATTAATGTCTATCTATATAATGACTCGAGCTATTTAATCTAAACGAGATAACAAAATTCAAGGTAATTCAAGTCGAAATATTGCCTTGAATTTTGTATCGTGTTTACATAGCTTGTTTAGATCGAGGGGCATTTCACTCCAAAAAAGCGTACGGGATTTTCGGATTTTTAAAAATCCGCGGATTATTTAGCGGATTTTTCCCGGATTTTTTAGCGGATTTTTGAAGAGAAAATTTGCTGGATTTTCCGGATTTGTTCGGATTTTCCGGATTTGTTCGGATTTTTTCTGGATTTTTGAAAATCTGTTGGATTTTCCGGATTTGTTTGGATTTTCCGGATTTGTTCGGATTTTTTCTGGATTTTTTTTAATTATAGAGTTATAGAGCTAGGTAACGTTTTGAACAAATAATCTTAAGTTGTACGATGTCAACGTTATGCCAGGACACAGAATAGGAAGTTATACCAGAAGCGTAACTCGAGCAAATATTTGTCCGCGTTTTTACAAGCGATTCGTCATCAATCACGCCATCCTGGCTAGTACAACCGGCACTTTGTACCTACCAAATCCTGATAAAAACTTCCGGCTGTACTAGCCAGGATGGCGTGGCCTGACGTGAGCGAGTTAAAATTTTCGTGGACGTCAAACAATAAGGGAAACGACTAGAGTTACGCTTCTGGTATAACTTCCTATTCTGTGGCCAGGACGTCAGGGTCGAGCAGAGGACTGGGACTAGGACCACAGCCTTCTGAAACTATTAACGAAGGCTGGGCATGCAGTCATTTTGTTTAAAATTCAAACAAGTTCATTATTCTTTCAAAAGCAGTAAAAGACAATGGTGAATAACTTTTGGTTTTGTAATTATATTTTACAACATAACGTCATTGTAACAAGAACACATATTTAGTAGTAATAGGCTAAAAAAACTTAGCGTATACTCGAGCGTATAAATGGAAATGTAGAGTGGTCCAATAATTACGAAATATAATGACAGCCGAGCGATCACGGTAAGCGTTTAGCTTTCGCTGTCCGCCATTTTGAACGTGGCAAAGAACCTTTACGAGTAAATTACACCAAGTACTTCATATATTTTTTTGTGGATTTGCGGATTTTTTAAGGATTTTTAAGGATTTCTGTGGATTTTTGAAGGATTTCTGTGGTTTTTAAAGGATTTTTTGGATTTTGATGGATTCAACGGATTTTGAGGATTTCATGGATTTTTTCTGGATTTTTTCCGGATTTTTTGACGAAGTGTACGGGATTTTTGGAGTGAATTGCCCCTCGGTTTAGATAGGAAATACAGGGTTCTATAGCATTTCAACCTTGTCTCGCTTACCTTTTCTGCATTGTCTCCCCCCCCCCCCCCACATCTTTTTCTGATCTCTTCATTCCATAATATTTCTGACCAGCTCTTCTACATCTCTTCTTGTTAGGTGTCCACAGCATCTCAGCCTGTCTCCTTCATCTTTTCAACGTTGTCTACCACCCCACATCTTTTTCTGATCTCTTCATTCCATAATATTTCTGACCAGCTCCCCTACATCTCTTCTTATTACGTGTCTAGAGCATCTCAGTCTGTCTCTTTCACCTTTTCTGCAGTGTCCTCCACCCCACATCTTTTTCTGATCTCTTCATTTCATAATATTTTCTCCTACATCTCTTATTAAGTGTCCACAGCATCTCAGCCTTGCTTCAATTACCTTCTCTGCAATGTCTACCATCCCACATCTTCTTCTGATCACTTCATTTCTTATCTGCTAGGTATGTGGAAGCAACCTAGAAAATACAGGATTCTATAGCATGGGAACTCAAGCCGTGTGTCCGAAACATGCATAAGGTTGGAGTCCCTGAAATGGATTGAAGATTATCTTGAAACCTAAAATGTCATCTTGGCAAACGATAAGTACATTATGTAAATTTGTCATAACAGATAAACTTTATAAGGAAAGTTTATAAAACCGGTGGATAAGGAAAGTTTATAAAACGAGGGTGTGAGACTGGGACAGTTGTGCGTAGGCAAATTTATATTGGACTATACAGCCCTATGGGTAAAAAATCTATTTTATATTACAATACGTGTCAAAGGCTTACACGAAACAGCTTCTCGATTAAGGCTTGGCCATATCCTTTTTCCTTTTAAAGGATGGTTGTAAAATGGCTATTGTGGACTTCGCTGTTCGGCATAACGAACAGTTTTGTTACTCTTTCCTTTGACAGTTAGTCAGACTAACCTTGCAGGCTAACCTTGTGAAATGGCCGTTTTACAGCGTGTCCCAAAAATGTCTTCCGTTATGTTTTGTAGTATAACTACGTTAGCTTTAATTTATAGATGTTTCTGGGTTTTTTTGTACTAATATTGTGTCAATCACTGATCTGAATACTATGCAGTGAAGCCAATGGCAACCATATTGCTGTGAACACCACAAAGCTCAAGATGGCTTCCACAAGTCCCATTATCTAGTGTTTAAAACGTTCTAAAACCCATTAGAAGAGATGGGGGAAGCTATATCTTTCACGTTGCATAGGGAAATACATTTGCTTGATAATGTAGCTAATTTAAAATCGTCGCGATCCGATTTGCAGAGATTTTGACAGACTTCCTAGATTTCAGGTCAGTGGTGATTGGGCTTCTAAAATCACTCAAGGTAGCGACAGCAATTTTCAACTAACTTGTCCAAATTATGGAAATTGTATTAAAAATTAATATTTCAACCCCCTGCCTGGGAGGGGATAATACCCTGAACTTGTTGTTTTTCGTAGTTTTTCTTCCAAAACAGCTAATCGAGGGCACTAATTAAAGCTAATGAAGTTATACCATAAATATAACTGCAGATTCCGCATTATATGTACATATAACTGAGAAGATTTTGTTTCTGGGTCAGTTTAATATAAAGGTGTCTTAATAAATCGTTATAGAGTGAATAAATTTATATCAAAATTTGAAAAATGTTGATGTGATGTATTTTTTACATTATTTTTTTGAAAAAAAAAATTTAATATACCACTCATGAAATAATACGTATAGTACGTACTATAGATCAGTCTATAGGAGTATAGTATAATATTTGCAAAGTATATCTTAGATAATAAACTTGAGACGTTCTCTGGCCAAATCATTTTAATTGATGAGCTTTCGGCTATCAGAAGTAATTTGGTCAGAGAACGTCTCAAGTTTATTATGTCTTATCTTCCATAATAATTTTTGTATATCCGAGATCATAATACAATATTATATAAATCTACACTGCAAAAATATTGAATCTAAAAATTAATGCACCCATAGACACAGTGGCCCAAAATATTGAGTAAAATTACCCAAATTTATTAGAAAATTTACTCAATTTTTTTAGTAAAATTAGTCTACACTCAAAACATAGAGTGAATTTGAAACTTTAGTCTTTACTCAAAAAATTGAGTCAATTTGGGTAATTTGTATAGATAATCGCTTGGCATGTTTTCAAAGTTTCACAAATTGTAGATTAGCTGAACAAGTGAGATAGCCAATTAAATGTCAATCAAATACAAAGCTCGAACAACCAAATAAACAAGTCTGAAACGGTGCACATTCATTCAACGAACTTTATTTAAATTAACTCATTGAGTGGCAGTACTCTCTTCCTGACGAGTAAAATCGCCTGGCGTTAGACAGAGTAAAATAATAAAGTAGGACGCATCTGGGGGCATTGCCACTTAAAGGGTTAACAGGGTGCATAGACAGATAGCCCGATTAACCCATTGAGTG